ATTTCTGGCAAACTTAAAGTAGCTTAAGGATAAATATGAACTAAAAAGTAGGAGGAAGAAAAAGGTTTTTATTGGTTGGAATTTGGAATCTTAGGAGTGCAATACTTGGTAATTGTTAATGGTTTGCAAGAGAATTGTCATACTTATACAATGTTAAGAAATGGATGGAGTTATTTTTTCTTTGTTTATGCTGCTTACCAGTTTATAGCATCACTGTATAATGTCAGTAATTTTTCCTTTTCTTATAAAATTCCATTTGTTACCAATGAGTCCTTTGTAGGTTTGTTTTGATCTCTTGGTTATGATTAGACTGCATTTCTGTAGTCAATTTGTCTTCTTAGCTCAGAGACCAATATTAGGAGGATCTCTACCCTTTATCTATGTACTTTTTTCTCCTCTTTCTAATAATATATATTTTTTTCTAATAAAAAGAAAGAACTAATAGACATTTCTTGCTGGTAAGTATATGACCTTCTATTGGTGGCAGCTTGATGTTGATATTGCAACCCACATATATGTTAAGGAAGATGGGCCTAAAAGGAGGTTTGTATCTTAACAGAATTAGGATTCAACTTATATGTCCAACCCATTGATTTACAGTTGGATATCAATGAGTTCTTCTGACTGGCTAAGATATGCAGTAGTATACATTCTCTAACAATTTTCTTGTTCTGCATTTTACCAGCTTGCTTTATATTGAGACAGCAGATAGGCCTGGACTGCTAGTAGAGATCATCAAAATCATTTCTGATGTCAATATTGATGTGGAATCTGCAGAAATTGATACAGAAGTACTCTCTCTCTCTCTCTCTCTCTCGCTCTCTCTGTCCTCACCTTCCCCACATGGGTAGACAGTCTATCGCCCACATAGATGCCCACATTCATGCACTTTATTTTGTCATTTATCTTTACTCTATTTTCAGGGGTTGGTAGCCAAAGACAAATTTCATGTCAGCTATAGAGATGCAGCATTAAACAGTTCATTGTCACAGGTAAAATTGCTTAGGAGTTCAATGTTCTTGTTGGCTGACCAGAAATTTTCTCTAATTTTAACCTAGTTCGTGGTGACAACATTAATCTTAGGTCCCGTTTGGTTCAGGTCCTATCTCATTCTTAGTTAAATATCATTATTAATTTTCATGTTAAGGATTATGATTAAATTTTTGGACAAAGTGCCAATTAGCTCCCAAAGTTTGGCACTTGTTACAATATGGTTTCTAATGTTTTTCTTGTATAATTTGGTTCCCAACATTTTTCATTTGTTTTTGATGCTCAGTTTCCTTCTATTTCATAATATTTAGGTACTTTAAAATAAACTCAAAAGAATGATTTTGATTAATTAATTAAATTAATACGTTAATAACAATAAATTAGTGAATTAATAAGAATACTAATTGATTTATTTAATTAATTAGGTAATGTCATTTTGTAGAATTGTTTTTCAAAGTGTTCAAACATGACATAACTACTTTTAATTTTTTCTTTTAGGAAATGAAAGGAAACTGAGCATTTGAAACAAATGAAAAATGTCTGAGATCAAATTGTAACAAAAAAACATTAATAACCTAATTGTAGCAAGTGTTGAATTTATGAGCCTAATTTGATAATTATCCTAATTTTTTTATATGTTTGAACTACTTTCACTCTCAAGGATCTTAAGGAAGTGGAATAAGCTCAGATGTAAAAATTTGGTATATTCATGCATGATCAAAACATGCATAAAATTAAGAGTGAGAATTAACGAAGAAGGGAATAAGAATTGAATAAAACATGCTGTTATAGTTCTACTTTCCCTGTTGCAAAGTAGCCAAAACAAAAACCAGTATCATTATTCTCCAAAGAATATTCTAAGGTAAAGATTGAATAGCTTAAATGTAAAAACTGTTTTCTAATCATCTATACCCAGTTCCAATTTTTTATTCTCGTCTGGGTTGGCTGCTATGTCTCTCTTTCTGATACTCATTTTGGAATCTGCAGGTTTTAGTAAACTGTCTGCGTTACTACCTTAGGAGGCCTGAAACAGATATTGATAGCTACTAGTGGCAGGAGGAGCCCACTTCCTTGGTTGTAAAGCCAGTGTAATGATTCTTGTACCAAATTATATGTGATAAAAGGTTCTCTGCTGAAGCTGTACCAAATCAAAAGAAGTATTTAGCGACACTCCCGGTTCATCATTTATCTAATTTCTATTCTGGATTAGTGGAAACAATCTGTTAGCTAAAACAGAATCTTGCTACAATTAAGTAAAAATTTGAAGTTCATAACTTATGTTTCCTGCCTTTTCTGCTGAGGTATATTCTGATTTCTGCTAAGTGATCATTGGGTTGTTGATGAAGAATGAAAAGGCAAAATGGTTGGTGATTTCCTGTACATTTCCTCTGTTTTGAAATTAATGTGTGTAGAGACTATATTTTGTATGCAAGATCATAGGTTTTATTTTCTAAGAGCAGTAATGTTACCTTTTCCCACATCGATAAAATCTAAATGAGTGAGTTCATAATGATACATGTTGTCATGTGGTTCCCAATAACTTCAAAATTCTGTTCTTGATAATGGGGGCCGAGAAGACCAGCCAGCAGAAGAATTGCTGATATTTGCTGGTTCCAGATGGTGACAGTATTTTCTTTTGGTAACGTTATTGGAAGGGTTTTGATAAATAACACCTACGTAAACAAATTAACAATGCTCACCTACATACTGTTGTGTGAAGCATATTAAAGTAGAAAAATTAATTGCACAAACGACTCAAATTATTTGGTTAACCTGGCCTAGTTGAATACATGAATTGGTAATAGAAAAAAATTATGATATTTCTTTTTTCTCTAACTTGAATCAGAAGGCACAAAAAACTCACATAATAACACAATATCAGTTCTAAGAGTAAAGGAAAGAAAATCCTAAATAGATATGTACTTTTGCTGTTACTATTGAATTTTTTAAAATAAAAAATAGGAATAACTTTAGTTTAATATTATCCGGTAGATTTTTCTTACGATGCCAATTTGATTCACTAAAATATGGAAGTATATAGACAAAGATTATTAGGCCACATTACATTCTACAGAGACTCTGTCTGCAAACCAAAATTCTTGGTTTTAATACTGGGTGGCTGAGGATGTGTAGCAATTTGAATAATCTTCCGCTATCTGTAAGCAAGTTATTAAGAGAAAAGAAAGGAGAAGAAAAACACATATATCTATAATGATGTATAATACATGTAAATCTATATGTGTCTCGTTAGGTTTGACATTTTCTGTGGACTGTAGCAGTTAGAACACGTGGAGTTTGTTTTAAGTATTCTTCCGTGTAATTTTTGCTTCTTTAGCCCTACGCATCCTCCAATAATCAAACCCATAAATACACCTCATAACTCTTTGCTTTTAACTAATTTCCCACTACGCACTTCTAAACCCATTAATATTATATGTTTTGGTAGGAGATCCCTTGTTGAAGAAATCAACTAATCCTCTTCTACCTTTCCTCCTAAGCAAAAACTTACCGACATATTTAATATATATCTATATAGCAATCTCACCAGCTCTCTGTATACATATATAAACGCCCAGTTGCTACAACCGTATCTCTATTTGATTCATATCTCTACATTTCCATCTTTACTATTCTTTGGTGCAATAATTAGGACAGCGAAAACCATGTTACTGAAACTAACAGTACTTTCAGTTTCTGTTCTCTTCAATTGTTATGTGAGTTTGGCCGCTGACCCGGATCCAGTTCAGGACCTCTGCATTCACAGCACAGAGTTGGCTTCTGGTTTACAGTGCAAGAACTCATCAGATGTTTCAGTGGAAGATTTTGTATATTCTGGTATTGCGCACCCTGGAGAATTCAGTAAAGAAACTGGCTTATCAGCAATCTCTGTAAATGTCAATATCTTTCCTGGATTAAACACGCTAGGCATGTCCTTTGTCCGTGCTGATTTTGACATTGATGGCATCAATGTCCCTCATTTCCATCCTCGAGCAACGGAGATTGCTTTTGTGCTTGAAGGGAGAGTTTATTCAGGATTTGTCGATACAGAAAACCGGATTTTCGCCAAGGTGATTGAGAAGGGTGAAGTCATGGTTTTTCCAAAGGGTCTGGTGCACTTTCAGATGAATGTTGGAGACAAGCCTGCTACAATTTTGGGGAGTTTTAACAGTCAAAATCCAGGTTTGATAAGACTTCCCACGGCAATTTTTGGTTCTGGCATTGAAGAAAAGCTGTTGAAGAAGGCTTTTGGATTGAGTGGAAAGGAGATTTCCAAGTTGAGGAACAGGCTAACTCCTCATGAAAAGAGCTAAATATGCAGGGTATTCTTCAATTCAGATAGTAGAATAAAGGTATGCAGATCATCTCCGGAAATTTTGTTATTTTTTCCCTTGTGACCAGAATTTACTTGGGGCTAAATCCAATTTCAGATTTCAATATATTTAGCATGTAGTTATTGTGATTAAATTTAAAGTGATGAATTTTCAACTTTTTATTCCTGTTTATTTATGGTCACCAGCACTGCAGCTACTTTCGTGAGCAGATTCTTCCATGATGCAATTATTTTGAATTGAAATTCAATTTTCAAATGAAAGAAAAAGATCAATGAGAATTTTGCTCATGTATCAAGAAATTATTTTCTATAAAAGGTACACGTTAATGTAGTTTGATGGAAATTTTAATTGACAAACTAAATTTGTGGAGTGAGATTTTTAACATCCTATTAATAAAATGTGATGCCAAAACAATATATCACAGTGGTGATTATTCATAACTACTCCAACTGCTCTCTTACCCATAAAGGGGCTGCTTGACAATGAAGTTTGATGGTGCAAAATAAAAGCATCAATTGTGCATGATGCAGAGTTGACAACTTCTTAACTCAAAATTCCAAATTCAAACTATTATTAGCAAGTGATTTAAACCTAATAGACTGTTATCCATGGTAATGCTGGGGGTGATACGCAACCATATGCCTCTAACATTATCCGATGAATTCTAGAGTTCTAGGACGCCCATATCCACCATCCCTTCGTCGTCCGTGGGATCTGGGTATCATACCCTTTAGTTGGTTAGAGAGCTCCTCCAGGAAGCTGGCTCAAGCTTAATACTAATCGTTTCGGGAGAGGAGCCCCCTTGAGAACCACTAATGGTGGTTTAATATGAGACCACCTAGGAGACTGGATTTTGAGCTTTATGACCAATTTTATTGACATTCAATCTAACAATGCGAAGATTTTGAGCATTGTCAAGGGCCTCCAACTCGCAGCAGTGCACACCTTTCTTAAAGTCATTATGGAGGTTGATTTGTTGCATACCCATCATCTCTTAGCTAACTTAGCCAGTGGGTCCGAGCTGATTCCCATGGAACATGAGGTCCATTGCCTCCTACGGTTTATTCTTTTGATGATGCTTTAGCCTCTAGAGCCTATGATGTTGGGATTGGGTCTTCTATCCTCTCCCATCCCCCTGCATAGATTGAGAAATACTTATATCTGATTAAGTCCGGTGATGCTTGGATTAGCTTGATGGACTGAATGTCCTCTTTGTATCCAGAAAAAGAAAGTAAATGGTAAAGTTAAAAAAGACTCACCTTACCTCATCTTTTTTCTTTCCATTTTCCTTTTCATCTTCTCCTTGTCTTTTTCCTTTTTGTTCAAAGATTAGCTGCATTGGATTCTTTCTTTAGCATGACTCGCCTTAAAAAAGTTCTAATTCGCCAAATTCCTTCTTCAATTTCCTTTTCTTGGGCTAATACAGTAACAAAGAGGTAGAAACCAATAAAGAAATCTTGAAAGTGAAGTTAATATTTAGGAGTTAAGAGTCACGTGCCAAACACACCATATTCCATGACACTATCTCCTCGTAAACAATTTAGCATTTCAATAAACAACAAAAGCACAAAGCATATTACTGGCTAATACAGAGTGCCAAAAGCAAACCCTAGCTAATTTATTATTTATGCTTCATCTTAGAGCAGAGCACTCAACATCTCATTCCAGATATCAGGGACCCCAGGAAGGCACCAGTGGCTACAATCAGAGGAAAAATCTCTTGGGTGCTGTCTCTCTTCCTGGTCCATTGCCCTTCTATACACAGAAGGATGACCATCTCTGCGGAAAGCCGAAATAGTTGTAATATCCTGCAAATGTACTGGAAAACTCATTTTTCTCAACGCCTCTTTTAGCACTAGTAGTTGTCCAGGAACATGTTGGTGACTGAAATATGGCAAAGGCTTCCTCTGATTATAACATTTCCAACCATTTTCTCTGCAAAGGGATTAATCAGAATATAAAAAACTGAACCATAACCATTTGATGAACTATATGATTCCCAGAGGAATTTTGTGATATACCTATTGTGCCCGGGGGACATGCTCCTGAAAATGACTCGTGTTTGGCGAGGATTGAGGTTTAGATCTATCCATTTGGCCCATGTAGCGAGTCCTTTCTGATAAGCAACCATTGGATTCATATTTTTGAAGAGAGAACTCCCCTCCATGTAATAGTCCCACCTAAAATTATGCAGAATTGAAGGTTCAACTATGGTCATAAAATGCCAAGTTATATACAGAATTGGTTAAGCAGGAATCTGATATAAACATTGAGCAATAAGCAATCAGAGAGCAATATATAACAAATCCAGAGTCTTACAAGTGCTACATTTGGCTCTTATATCAATCAAATTTATTTCTTTATTTTTGAATAGCATTTCAGACTGATGTAAGAGAAATTATTTATAAATGCGAGAAAAGTTTCTTACGAACTCCATTTTTCGGAGTGAGTCCACCAGTGAGCTGAATCAAACACAAGAACATCAACTCCTCTCCAGTATCTTGCATTCTCTTCTATCAAATCCAAGTGCAAGATTCTCTTGTTTCCAGGTCCTTTCTTGAGCTCCACCAGCAATGGAGCCCAACAAAACTCAATTGATGTTTCAAAATCCTGTGCATACCAAGCTTGATTATGTCACTACAAGTGAAAATGTTTGCCATCAAGAACACCACAATCAATCACCTTGAACAAAACATAACCAAATTGAAACCTCAACTTCTTTTCTTACTGAAAGAAAAGGAGAGTTAGGAGTATGAGTGTGTTCATTCTCGGTGTAAATTATCATTAGAGTATCCCTCTAATGATTCAAGCCATACTTGTTGCTTATTTGAGCAAGCTCATCGTCACAACCCCACTGAAGCGTAAGTGCTCCAAATAATAAAGGTGGAGCACTTGACAGGATCTCAATGATAGTTGAAACTATGTCTAATTAATTAGGAAAGGTTGTAGAACCCTTTACACAATTTAATCATGTTGGAAGCTATTATATCCATTATTTCCAAAGCGAACAATATGTGCATGTTTGTATCGCTAGCTTAAAATCAGATTCAAGCATCTTACCAAGGCATGGAAAGACATTGAAAGACCATTGTAGGTGACCTTCTTTCTGCCAGTTGGTACAACTCCTTGCACTAAGCAGACAAGAGACTCCCACTGGTTCCTCATTATGGAATCACCTACTAGCATTATTCTTTTCCTTCTCATTTTGCCAAGAAACTTCAGTGCATCAAACCTGGTTCACCCAAATGGAAAAAACATTTTCACAGCTACTGCATTTATAACATGTTTGGTTATTCTTAATTTCATCATTCAATTATAGGAAAACATATGGTATTTGCATGTATAATTCTAATAGTTAAATGGTCAAAGAATGCGAATTTAAATTTGTTCACGCACAAGAACAGAGAAAGAACAAAGAAATCAATCTACACGAGCACAAGATATTTACACAGTTAGGACAATAACTTGCAATCTACTAGAGCAAATAAATTAAAAAACAAAAAAAGGTTATCATAACCTTATGCTATCCTATACCCATTTTACACCCAATCTCATTTGGGGCTATGTTATTTTATTTTTGCAGAATTCATTTGGAAATTTCAAATTTAGTTTTTGCATGAATAATAAATTACCCTTCTCAGCATAAAATAGACTGGCTATTTTTTAAAACAGTATCAGAACGAAAAGCACAAAAGCTGACTCCTGGTACTCTCTGTCTTTACTTAAAATTTCAGCCCAATGAGCGGGTTCAACTTTGATCCACGCTTCCATTAGAGTAGACTTGTGCTTAAATGGTATGTTAGTGGTAACTAAAACTTTGAAAAAAATCAACTCAACATATGAAAACTTTTTTCAAAATGATGAAAATTCGAATGAACTTCCAAAATGTTTTCCACATTTTTCTATTTCTCTGTCCTTTTTGTCAATACAAGATCCATTTCCACAGACACACACACACACACACAAAATTAAAGGGTATAAATCACGGATAAAGCTTTTATGATGTCAGTAACAATAACATGAAAAAATTATTGGGCAATATACCTGGGAATAGAACAGGCATTTGGCTTCCACTTCCACTTTTCATACTCAGAATCCGGCCGGCCATTTCGGCGGCAAGATACTGCAGAGCTGAGATAAGGGCAGTCGGAATCATAGAGCGGATAAGACTCATCATACACCCATTTTCCAGCAGCAAAATCACAATCCTTACGCGGCTCACGCCTCGTCTGAGCCATGTTTACATCGTCGTCTTCGTCGTTATCATCCAGCCAGGACTCAAACTCCTCTGAGCCAAACTGCGATGACTTGCCATGTAAGACACACAGAGAAATAACCAAAAGGGACAAGAGGAAGACAGAATGAGGCTTAATCCATTCAGCCATTAGAGAGCAGAATGGAAGATTCTGTGGCACGAGAGTATCAGTAGAGAAACCAGTTAGTATAATAAATATAGTAATGGGAAATAATTAAGAAGGGTGATAGTTAAAGTTGGTTTCATTAAGGCATGAATTACGGCAGGTGATGGAGCCCACACATGCTTACAATGTTTCAGACAGTAGTTGTTTGTAATTGGTGCTCCTGAAGATGGTAGTTAACTAATAAAATATAAATTTTTAAATATATTATTAAATTATTTCTTAAAATATTACGCTTACAATAATTTAATATTTAATATTTTTATTATAATGTAATCTTTAACATTTTTTAATTATTTCAAAATATAAATTTATTTTTTATTTTTAACAAAAAAATAAAATAAAATAATTAGAACATATTTAAATATTTTAAAAAAGGCCAAACTATTAAATAAGTTTATGTATTATTATAAACTATTCATATTAATATATTTTTATTATTTTTGTACCTTTAAAAATGTTTTAATTCAATCTCTAATAATTAATACACATTAATATTGTTAATAGAAGTAACACGTGGATTCAAGTTGAACATGTGTTGTATTTTGGTTGAATACGTGTTCAGATTTATTTTTATAATTTTGGTTCTTCTAATTTTAAAAAATATTTTAATTTAGTCAGTAATCATTAATACACACTAACATTGATAGTAAAAATCATGTTCGTCGAAATTGAACGTCGATAACAGTTCTAATTTTTTTGGTAATATTATTACTTATTAATATATCCAAAACTGTCTCATTGCCAATGATTTCTAATTGACTTGTATTAATTGACATGTTTAATTATAGTTTTCACCTCAATAAAAAATAGTTAAAATAAATTATGATGCATCTATTATAAAAGATAGTTTGTTAGGGTTAAGAGTTATTGGTTGTGATCATATGGACATTACAATTTTTGCAGGGATATGCAGGTCACTAATCCCATTGTCTATTGATTTAGATTATAATTGGTTACAAATATGAGTTTTTCACACCGTGACCATTGAAGAAAATTAAGAGATAGTTATTAAAGCATTGACCTTACCCACTTCTTCATACTCCTTTGATATTGGTGTGCTTTATGATTATTTTTACTTTCTTACACAATTTTTATATTTGATTTCTATTTCTTAGATTTCTCGAGATCATAATGTGGTGACTTTATACTCTTATAAAAAAGTTATAACACACCTAATTAGAGAGTATGTCGTCTTACAATCTCATATTTTTTTAGTTCGTGATTCTTATTGGTTACCCTGATCTTACTTGTTGAATCAATGTTCGATTTTTTTTAAAAATATTCTATCACTACAGACATGTTATATTTATGTTTGTGTTAAAATTATGACGACAAATTCACATAAATGGTTGAATTCAAAATTAACATATTTACTAAAAAAATGTAAAACCTTTTTTTTATAAATCAACACTTGTTAATCAATGAATAATACTTAAAATTGAATGAAAAATTCTACCATCCATAAAAAGTTGTACAATTATTTCATAAATCTAACTTCACTAATAGCACATTTCTTTTTCTTCTTTTAAAAAGGCTCTTTTCTATTTCTACATTCAAAAGTAATTGTTAATCATCATTTTTCTATTTTTTTTTTTTAATTACTTTTTCTGTCCAAGAAACTAGATAGATAGAAAGAAAGAAAGAAAGAGGGGATATTGGTGGCCGTGATTATCGGCCGTATGTATGTAGGGCACACCATATCTATCATTGTTTTGCTTTCTTTTCATCTCCTAAGTTCTTTAAAAAAAAAAAGAAAGTAATTCTTTCTTCTTGTTGTTGAACGTGAAGAAGAAGAAGAAGAAGAAGAAGATGATGATGATGATGATTATGAGACAGTGAGTTGAAAGCAAGCATGCATTTATTGGAGAGCCAACAAACATTATTATTACAATTTCTCTGTTTTATTGACCAGGAGGTCTTCCCATTAGTTACCTAATTCTATGGAATTAGGGTTATGTAATCAAGGAAACTTTATAATTATGACTTTATGTTTATAACACTAATTCGTGTTTCCAATTGGGTAGTACCCTTTTCTTCTTCAAGGAAACTTTTTAATACTTCTTTGGACTAAGACTTAAAAACTGATTTCAAATTTTTTGAAAAATCAATAAAATAAACACACGAGCCTCACAAGAAATATGAAATAAAAATTAAAAGATTGCTATTAAATGTGAATTAGGATGCCAAATAAGTTTACTTTGAAATTAAATTTCATTTCCTTGAAATAAAATGAAAATTGTTTATGTAAAATCTCTCTGATTCAAGCAAAAACATTTCCAACCTCAACCACAAAAATTGAATACCTAATTTATAAACATTTATCAACAGAATAATTCATTGGATTATAATATATCAAATTCAGTCGACAAAACCACGAAAAAACTATGAAGTTCTACAAAACACTCTTCGATTTGTATCAAATTCGAAAATATAGAAAAATAAATAAACAAAATCAGGATTGCTAATTAAAAAAAAAAAAAAAAACCGAAGTAAGAGTTCGTTAGCAATAAGCCATTAACTCTTATAAGGTAATCCCTAATAATGTACCTAATGAATGTAGACAAGGCACTTAGCTGAAATAAAAAGAATACAAGAGAAGTCGCTATTAATCCAACTTTTCAAACTCAAATTACAAATTCAAAACTGAAATCAGTAACTTTAATTCATATACAACAATTGTCAATCACATATTTAACTAAATTGAGATAGAGACTTCATACATTTTAACTTGCCAAATGAATTCCCTCCCTAATTTGTTCATCTCATGAATATTACAGAAAGTGGTGTGCTTCAAATATCAGAGAAAAAATCTTTAGTTTACTATGTAAAACAGGGCAGTGGACAAGAAAGGAAAACAAGAAAAAAACAAAAAAAAAACCTTGGTGACCTATAGCAAGGGCAATGTTTTTAGGAAAAAAAGAAAAGTAAAGAAAAGCCTGGTTGTCTATCCATTAAAATAGCACCATTGGAAATAAAGATGAGGCATGGAGCAATGCAGACTATTCAATTTTCTAATCCTTGCAACAAAATGTAAATGCTGAAACTATTTGGAGTTTCTTTCTTTCATTTTTTTAAATAAAGGGCAATTACAATACAAACAGTCAACTAGATAAGGTACATCCCTAACACAGATTCAGAAGACTTGGCACTGCTCCTACCTGTTCCATTCATAGTCTCCTCCATATCGAGAATTGCCGTTATTTGCTCGACTTAATTCCTCTGGTTTTATGGAATTAGCAAATGCATGCCAACCTATAAGGTATGGCAAGAGGAACTGCATATATTAAATCAGGGTTAATTAGAATATAATATAAGGATTATAATACATATACCCTATGAAGACAAGTGACTTACTGAGGCTTTATTACTAGTTATTGCTACAAATATGCCGTGTTACACAATTTATCTTTAACTCTTTCTATAACCTTATTCACACAGAAATTTGTACATGTATGGACAGAATTGCAGACTTGAGGCTCACATGGCAAAATTAACATGACAAACATTCTTCTCACATGGCAAATGCGTAACTGTTTGTTTATCTCTAAAGGTAATCTCTAAAGGAATTTACCTTAAAGGATTCTATTGTTTTAATAACATTTCTTTCAATAATGCACAAAAATTTATAAAATAAAAATTAAGAATATTAATGTTGCCATGTTAGTCTCAAGTCTAGCATTCAGTTCTAGCTTGAGTTTGAGGATGATAGGGAGCAAGATGATTCATCTAAACTAGATGATAGAATTGAAGAATTGAAGATCTCAATCATGTCATTAAGGGGTCCTCAACAAGAATTGAAGATCTTGATAATAAGCTGCACCCTATAGTTGCAAGGCTGTCTTTTTATTAATCTTGGTAGATCTGGGAAGCACGCACTGCTTCATCGATGATTCTTTGGTCAAGAAATCTTCGGAATTGAAGCCTTGAGACAAAGATTTAAGAAATCTTTGTGATCGACTTTGCCAATCACAAGCCACAATGAAAAACTTTCATGATGCCCACCACCATGAGGTCTAGTTTCAGGTAGGAGACAAGGTTCTCTACATCACCTTTGCCAGCAAGTATCCTTGGGCTGCCAACACTACCTGAAAACAGCGCGCCGCCTCTGTGGCTCCTATGAGATCACTTAATGAATTGGAACTATGGCTTACTGGTTGGCTCTACCAAAAGGAGGATGCATCCACTCAGGGTTCCGTGCATCTTACTTTAAAAAAATTGAAAATGAGTTGGTTCAGCCATCCTCCTCCCAGCAACTAATGGATAAATACAGCCCGCATCAAAGGCCATATTGGAGCAGCAGACAGTTGTAAGAGATCGTAAGTTACTGATTCATAGGGAGAGCCTCTCCGCAACAGATGCTTCAAGGGAAAAAGATGACATACTGCAGCAGCATCCACAGTTGGCACTTGAGGACAAGCACCATGTCGGGGAGGGGAAAAATGTCATGGACACTGCCGCTAACAAGCCAAGGAGGATTATAGAGATAGTGTAGAAAATAAAATAATTAGAAAAATAAATTAGGATTAAAAATGGTTATTTACAACTGTTATGTGCTGTAAATGGAGAGAATCACCAACAAATTTGTTCCAACAAATTTCTCATTGAAAACAGAATTTTGTTAGGTTTTATCCAGAATTTGTTAGATTGTTAGGAGTAGTAGACTTGTATATATATGTGTAAATCATTCATAAAAAAATAGAAGAAGAAGAAGAATATTTTTCTCTTAATTTTCTTCAGATAGTTTATTAACATGGGACCCATGAGAAAGGAAAAAGTGATGGTTAAGGAAAGAAAGAGGATTGCAGCAGGTTCAACTATATTTATTTATTTATTGAAATAAAATTCAACTGTATTTTTTCTAACAGTCTTATTTAGGAACATTTTTAATTATTATTTATTTAGGATAATAAACCGGGTATGAAAATCTTGGTTGTCTAACAGGGGTCTAATTCTCATAGCTTTCTAAATATACCATTGATAAATGATTCAACCCAAAAATTAAGAGCTTTACTCCAAGATTCACGATTCTCTTAAATGATTCTCATTATAGGCAATACTTCTAGCTTGCTTAGGGATTACTGAGGAAGGCCCCTTGACTCGTTCCCGAACATGGGACTGTGACACAAGCAATCTCCACACCAGCATGAAGATAAAAATGGCATACTGAAATCTTTCAGATTGCAGCTCTAAAAGAACTATGTCTTACAAGACCCAAAATACTCTCTATGCTTGTAAGGTAAGTAACCGCTTTTTTTTTCTCTCCTAGCTAAGCCATGGCAATTTCATAGGCTATTAAGAGTGCAAACAGTAACTGATATCTCTTTCATATTCTTTCAGAGGCATCTAACACCACAGATCTTAAGTAGCAACATATTGAGAGAGAGTGTGTTTATGTATGAGAGAGAGAGAGAGAGAGAGAGAGAGAGATCTTACATTGAAAGCTGAGACGAGGACAGTGTACTCTGCTCTGGTAATTGGAATATAAATATTCTCGTCCATGTTTAAAAGCTTGTTTTGAACACCTTGAATGAACAACACCAAAAAAAGACATTGACAAAAAAGTTAGGAAGTAATTTGGCATGTAAGTATCTTGACATTAAAAAATTTCAGACTTAGCAAAGGTCTAAGAACAACGTATTTCCACACTCAAAAATTAACATAGACAACTATGAATTAAGGGAAAAAAATAAAAAAAGCACTGTTTTTCTCATTCACAAGTTCAAGGGTAAGGAGGAGTACTGAGATTAAAGAAGTGGCCAGAGCCATCTGGGAGTGGCTCTACTTTCAACACCTTCCTGACCTTACCTTCCTCACTACAAAATGCAATCATTTTATTAGCCCTCATAAATGTATAAAGAATATTTACAGTGCACAAGATTTGACATTTTTTGTTTTGATTGTGTAACATAGCTATAACTTGATAGAGATTACTTTAACCCAATCAATAGGGCCTGCAATTTTAAATTTAATAAATGGATTTTGAAATCTTATTAAAAAGAAAAAGATCAAGCTTTTATTACATGACAAAGTGTTAAATGGATTTTGAAATCTTATTAAAAAGAAAAAATCAAGTTTTTATTACATGACAAAGTGTGAACAGATTAAAGTGTTAATAAAATTTATCATCCAAAACAAATACAAACTACCAGAACCAAAATTTGATGTTGAAAATATACCCTCAAACCTGAAGTTATCATGTAATCAATAGGTAAACTTACATAATAAATGCAAGTTATTGTTAATATTAACTACTAGCTAGTGAAAAACTCTCTTGTTTATCTTCCAAATATTGAACCTTCCTTCTTCAAGGTCTTTTTTTTTTTTTTTAAAAAAAAAAAAAAAAGTGTGAAAGTGTTTATGAACCTTAAGCAGTAAATGCAAATTAGATCACATCAATGAATTTTTTGAGAGATTTCCTTTTAGAGCAGACCACATCAATGAATTATGTTCATTAAGTTAGCATTAGTTTTTTTGTTTTTTTTTTGTTTTTTCCCAAAGAACTGCCTTTATTTAATTCCTGAATCCTTGATGAAAACGAAAATATATAGATGGCACTCCAAGAAATTTTACTTGACAGACATTTAAATCATGTCCTAAATCTTGAATGAAGATATCCGATAACTTAGACATTCGACTTTAGAAGATGGAATAGAAAGATACAAAACTGGACAACTACCTACGACATGCTTTACAGATCAGAATCCTCTTTTTTACATCATCATAAAAAGATGTGATCAGAAAGAAGGAAATTAATATAAAGAGTTCATTACCATTTCGAAATATTGTCATCACACCACATCCAAGTTCAAGTAACGCAGAAAGAACTACCTTTTTCCTTTGAAAGGGTCATGAAAAAATTCACACGATTCTCTTGTGCCCAGGCTGACAAGAGTTCCGATTTCTGTCACTGACAATGAGAACACCTGGATAAATTCATCATCAAAGACAAATACATAAGTAAAAATAAAGTGCATATCTTGTCAACCAAACACTGATTTATTCAATATCTCTAAAGGCGTGAAATCTTATTCATATCAATAACCATGGAGAATCACATTATGAAAAAATTTACAACTGTGCCAATATGTATTCACATTCACCATTTTACCACTCGTCAACTAGAGCGAGTTGAGTTACTTTTTTAAGGTTTAGGATGAAATTTGTCAAAATTTACAGGCTTGAAAGTTTGTTAAGTATTCATGACTCTTGAAAGATTAGGATAATGGAATGTGAAAAAAGAAAGGCAGAGAGTATATTTTGCAAGTAAATTTTTGTGCATAAGCAGCCAGTACAATCTCCATGAGAAAAAAAGGAAACTTTTTCTCACATTGAAAAATCCATTGTGGCCTAAATCTTCAAAAAATTTATTTAATTCCATTAACATTTAGAATTTGAGGCATGCAATATCCTCTAAAGATCAAAGAGGTATGGATCACCTGCTTCCGGCTCCAGTCATACTGTCGAACTCCTGCTGCAGGGGCAAACTGTAGCAGAACAAAACCTTCCTTGGATAATTTGAATGCCCCTGACTGCAGCCATAGTAATCATCATTTACACATAAGACCATCAAAGAAAGAGACGAAGCAATTTGATATCCACTGGGTACTGTGTTCTTACAATCAACAAAGCAAGCTGAAATAAAACATACATCTAAAGCCACAAACTCCGGAGCTCTAGGCTCCACCGTAAGAGCAGCCTTTCCCTTGTATATCGAGTGGCCAACGAAAAACCTAGGTGGTAATCCTCCAGCTACAAAAGAAGGCAAATAGATAACTTCATTAATCACACACGCAATCCGGTAACTCCTTCCCAACAAAAAGATGACAAAATAAAGTGAGCTACATGTTCCATTAATTCCCAAATTTCTCCTTTCGAGCAACTAATTTTCTCGGCAACCAAACAAGTGAGAGAAAAAGGCAACACTTACCGGTTGTTGCCCCAGCTGGAGACTGCGAAGAAAAAGAAGAAGAATCGCTGAATTTTTTTTGCTCAAAGTAATCTGAGTGGCGGCATTTCACTAACAGCTTCTTCGTGACGTTCTCTTTGAAAGAGATGGTAGAGATATTTGAACTAAAACCATGGCTTGTGTCAATGGAGTTAGTGTAGGAAAAAGAGCTGGTGTGGCAGAATTTAGGGTTTAGGGCTTTGAATTTGACCGCTACCGGTGGAGAAGATAAGAACTGTAGTTGTTGCTGCAACATTGTATGCATTTCTCCGTTCCCTCTTCCGTGCTTTTTCAATTTTCGCCAGCGAGAAACTATAACTAAGGGAATTGCTTTTGCATTTGCACTGTCGCTAAAAATACTTGCCTGGATCAGGGTTCACAGTAACAAAGAACAGATTAATGCCACATGGATACATGTTTGACACGTGTATGGCTGTCATAAAAAAAAACCGCCAACAAGAGCAGGTAATGTCCGCTTGTCCAATTAGCAGCCACACGCGAAAAAAACGGAGGAAGAGAGGTTCAGATTCGTAATTAGAAACCTTTCTGTTTCTCAGAATATTGATTGCTGAATGAATTTCTTGAATGTGAAAGGAAATGTATTCAATTTGTTGTGGTTGTCGAGTATTGGTGCCTGAATGGAGGCACAGAAATACTAGGGTTTTCTTGCTTTTTCTGCATTCGAAGAGAAAGATGAGCTTTGTTCCTCGGAAAATTTCCTCTTCGAAGAATGAAGACTCGGTTTCATTGCCTAAACAAAGCCAGGTAATGCAAATTATTTTCATCGTCTTCTTGTTTATGTATTTCTTGTTCTCTTAAACGTTGTCTGGTGATTGCAGCTGGGTTATGATCCTTCAGAGGAGTTGTTTGGGATAGATTTAAAGCTGAGGTATTAGAGTTTTTTTCTTTTTGAAGTTCATGCTTTCCAATATACTTTACCTAGTTTAAAAGGTGTTCATGGATTGCTGAAGGTTATACTTAAACCTTCCGAATTAAGCGATTGATTAAGAAAAGCAGAACCTGTTTGGACCACTAAAAGGAAATTTTTGTTTGTTTCTAACCCTCAAAGCCAGCATGTGAAGACTTTTTGTACTTCCTACCTTAATATTCATTTTTTGATGTTTGCCAATTTAGCTTTCGCCTTGCTTCTGCAAAGGTGATACGTATTTCTGGCTAGGTAAGCTCCCTAATCAAATTGATCTGGTTAAGTGCAGAAATACTACTCATGGGACACCCAAACCAAGGTCTTGGTTTGGTCCAAATGGTCATATATCAGAGAGCTTCCTTGCCCAAGTTGCAGGGGTAGAGGCTATACTCC